AAAAGAGGCAGTGCATCGGTAACTCATCCGACTCGCCAACATCATCAGAAGATGAAGAGCCCCAAGCAACGACTAGGAAGAAGGTCCATACCTCACCTCCTAAGTCGCTATCACCGCCACCCATCTCACCGGACGGTCGCAGTCACGACTCGATCCAATTCGAGCTAGGAGGTGAGGAGTCCTACAGCTGGGGCTCAACAACGTATGCAACCCTAGCTGCATCAGCCGGAAAATCATCACCGGTTCAAACTACCAACCCGTCCGGACTAGCTCACGACGATGGACAGCGGCCGTCAACGAGCTATGCCCACATGGCTGCGGCCCCTGCAGTACCACGACCGCAATCGGCGGAGGAGACTCAAAAGACAGAGAAGGTGAAGGAGAAATCTAGATATCCGCCGATCGTTGCAGAATGCCTCCCGGATTGGACGAGGCATTTTAAGGTCCTTAATGAAAAGTTGGGCCATCCTCCTAATGCCCGTCCATTCGGGAAGGGAGTCAGATTTTCTCCACAGAGCCCGGATGAGTTCCGTACCATTCAGAAGTACATGGTCGAGCTCTCCGAGAAAGACAAAACCATGTCGTGGTACTGTTATACCCCGGCAGAGGAGAAGCCCACTAAAGTGGGCATCCGGGGTTTGCCAGTGGGCACCGATCCCAAGATGATCGAGGAGGCTATCCGGGCAAAAGGCTTCCCGATACAGTACGTTAAGGCCATACCACCACGTAGAGGCAGACCGGGTTGCCTCTACTACGCACAGCTGGAGCATCTGAGCCTGGAGCGGCTACAAGAACTCTACAATATAGACGAACTCCTCTATATGAGAGGAGTAGTCATTGAAGCCTGGCAAAGGAAAACGGGGCCACCACAATGCCACCGTTGCCAGGCTTTCGGACATGCCTCAGCAAACTGCTTCAGGCCAGTGAAATGCGTTCGCTGTGCTGGAGAGCATATTGCCAGCCTTTGCCCAAGGGGTAGAGAGGAAGAACCAAAGTGCGCAAACTGCGCCAAGAACCATACGGCCAACGATCGCCGCTGCCCGGTCCTGAGGAGGATCGCTAGGAAGCAGGGGATCGTTCTACCTGGGCTACTCCCGGAGAACCCCAAGAGGATCCCCCAGAGTCGCCCCAAGGCAGTTACCATACAGGAGGACGGGTGGGCTACCATCACTAGAGGAAAGGGTAGGCAACCAGCCCCCCCCCCCACCCCACCCCCCATCAGTACCAATAGAAACGGTGGCCCCCACAGAGCAGAGGGCAACCACCGGGGCGACTCTCCGACCTCCTGCCAACGACGCCATTGAGAGGCAACCCTCCCAAAGGAAGAGGCGGAGGAATCGGAGCAGGAGAACAGAACAGCCTCCTCCTCAGGTAGTGACTACCTCTACCCCTACAACCACAGGACCGATAGCCTCGCAGGCGCAGGTTGCTGCAAAAACACCAGCACCAGTTACAGCAAGTAGAGCACCAGAAAGGGCCCTACCGGAAAGCAGAGCCCGCTCCACACATAGAGCGCGCTTTGCGCAAAGGAAGACTCAATCTAATGCCCCGAGACCAGTGCCTTCACAAAAGCGTAGTGCAGAACGCAAACCACCAACTTCCGACTTCGAGACGGCTGATGCTAACCATAGACTGGTAGGCATAGCCATCGAAGTCGGAACACAAGTCCTGGCCGACATTAGGGCCGGGACAGATCCAGTTACCGCCGTAATGAAGGCGCTGGCATCCCTATTGGCAAGGCACTATGGAGGATAGTAACCTGCGCCTGCTATATTGGAATCCGGACGGGATTCGTCAAAGGATCCATGAACTCCGCACTCTCACCCAGCAACAGGACATCCAGGTGATCTTGCTGGGTGAAACCAAATTACGACCATCAACGCATCTAAAGCTGCCCAAAGGAGGGACGAGGTCGATCCTCAAGGGGTCGCTTACAGAGGGACAGCGATCCTGGTGAGGAGAGACATCGTCCACCAGGAGCTGGAACTGCCAGACTTCCAGACGATGCGTTCAATCGGCATAAAAGTGGAGGCGGCGGGCGAGAAACTAAGGATCTTTGCAGCATACCGCCCGCCAGGGCCGCCATTCCACTCCTCAGACATCCGGACGGTAATGGAAGGTACAACACCCACCATCATCGCCGGGGACCTGAACGCCAAACACCCGGCGTGGGGGTCCAGAGTGATCACCCCGCCGGGTCGTGAACTTTACGACGACGCAGAACACCATGACTATGACGTTCTAGGTCCCGAGGAACCGACGCACATTCCTAGCGACCCTAGGAAGCGTCCGGATGTATTAGACATCGTGCTCACTAGGAACGTCAACTACCCAGTAGTGGTAGAAGTGCTGTATGACCTGAATACACAGCACCTCCCGATTCTGATAACCCTTGGCACTAAGGCAGTGACTTCACCGCCCAGAGCCGTTAAGACCAAGATCGACTGGAGGCTCTACCACCAACACCTGCAGGAGAGACCTCCAGTCCATACACCGATCAACTCAGCGGACGACGTAGAGGCCGCTGCAACTAGAATATCCACGTGCATCAAGGAGGCCCTCAACGCGGCCTCTATGATCGTCCCTCTCACTGGAAGAAAAGAGGAGCTGCCGCTAAAGATACGCGTGCAGCTAAATCATAAAAGAGCGCTGAGGAAGCTCTGGGCGCGTACTCGCTGCCCTAGAGTAAAAAGAAAACTTAACACCTTAACAGACGAACTGTCGGTTGCAATACAGGCCCACAGAGGAGAGGCCTGGGAGCGGCGCATATGGAAGGCAGACGAACAACACGCGTCGCTCTATACATTGAACCGACAGTTAACGAAAACACGACCACCTGTTTGCCCGCTGACTAATAAGGCGGGCATTCAATGTTACGATGCCAAGGGCAGAGCGGATATCCTAGCTGAGCACTTCGAGGAGCAGTTTATGCCGAACCCAGCAAGTGCGGAGTTCATGGAAATCCATACCCGGAAGGAGAGCCGCGTGCAGGAGCTCCTGTCGTCGCCCGCGCCACCGCTTGCAGGAGAGTGGTTTATATCCCCCCGCCGAACTGCGGAGGACAGTAACCCGCCTGCAACCGAGAAAGGTGCCGGGGCACGACGGGATTACTAACGCTGCACTACGACAGCTGCCCAATAGAGTCCTTGTAGAGATAGGTCGGCTCTACAACGGCATATTGCGGACATCCCACTTCCCGGAGGACTGGAAGAAAGGCAAAGTCATCGTCTTGCCGAAACCCGGGAAGGACAGGCGTAGAGCTGCCAACTACAGGCCGATCACGCTGCTACCGCATATAGCTAAACTGTGCGAAAGATTACTGTTAAGACCGCCCGTGCATCCAACTTCGGGCAGAGCAACATGGGTTCAGGAGAGGTCACTCAACAGCAACACAGCTGACCAGAGTGCTGCACCTGCTTGCGGCCGAACACAACCGTGGCCGCATATCGTTGGGCGTCTTTCTCGATATCGAGAAGGCGTTCGACCGGGTGTGGCACACAGGATTACTCTACAAGTTAGATGTACAAACAAGTATCCCTCCTGCTATATTGCGGCTAGTGGCGTCTTTCCTGGAAGGCAGGAAGTTCTACGTCTGCGTAGAGGACGCTGTGTCCGCAATAAAGACCATAACAGCTGGTGTGCCACAGGGCAGCTGTCTGTCTCCAGCCCTGTACGCGGCATACACTAATGACATCCCTACCCTGGCAGGACACTTGCATGAATGGGAGGACGACGTCGAACTAGCGCTGTTTGCGGATGACAGCGCATACTTCACGTCGTCCAGAAGAGCCCATATTGCAGCTGCCAGGATGCAACGTCTGCTGGACCTGCTGCCACCATGGCTGGATGAGTGGAGGATGGCCGTCAATGTTAGCAAGACGACCGCTCTACTCACTCGCCGCTACAGAAATTTACCACCACCACTAACCCTCGGAGGCCAGGAGATCGCATATGAGAAGGCCGTGACCTACCTTGGATGTCGGATAGACAGGATGTTGCATATGACAGCGCACGTCGACTCTGCTATACGCAAAGCTCGATGTGCGCGGGCTATGCTCCGCCCTGTCCTGACATCCAAGTTACCGACAAAGTCGAAGTTAACTATTTACAAAACATACATAAGACCCCTGCTAACATACGCTGCTCCGGCCTGGTATGCACTCCTGAGCGATCATCAGAAGCGGCGACTTCAGGCCCAGCAGAGTTTGTCATTACGAACCATAGTCGGTGCGGGTCGCTACGTCCGTAATGACGTCATAGCGGCCAACCTCAAGATGGAGAGCCTACATGATTTCGTGGTCCGGCTGGCGCGCGGTATGTTTGACCGCGCCGACAACGGCCACAGGAACACCTCAACGGCTTCGCGCCGTTGCATGCAAGGCCGCCGGACGGGCGACCCTATCCAAGAGAACTCCTCCCTATATAGATTAGGGAGTTGAGTAAATCCCACAATGCCGCAGAAAGGCCAACTCTGACAAAATAATTTGTGTTAAACACAATTATTGAGACAACCTCTTTTAATGATGATTTTACCCTACTGCGACAAAAGTCGCTAAACAACGCCTGTAACATCAAGGCGCCCAGGACCGGCACATTGTAGTGTGCCGTGAGGAACATCCGGGTAAAGGGGTACACCCCGAGGCCCGAGACCTGCACGGCATTTATGCCCTGCAGAGGACAGCAACGACGAGGGAATATAGAGTGCACCTGTGCTTGCGCATACACTTGGGCACTATAATCCTGTCCTGCGCCGATGGCTAGTCTCCGTTGAGGCTGGCTACCGTGACCGAAATTCGATCTGGAGGTCATTATTACTTATGCGTTCTAAAAATGTTTTTAACTTCACTTATACCATTTTTTATTTAATTAGTCCTTATTTAGCAACAAGACTAAATATTGTTGAATTATCATAAAATCTCGAACATAGAGATTTATTTAAGGAATTGATCATTTAATTGTAGACGTGATATAAATATTACAGATTCAATGCTTGTTCTCAGATTTAAAGCGCACAGCGTCTACAATCATCACCTCCTTACGCACTCTGAGGTGCGTGCCTACAAATGCCCTTACTGCCCAAAGGCTTTCAAAACATCAGTGCAACTCGCCGGTCACAAAAACTCACACACGAAGCCTTTCTCTTGCCAGCAGTGTAACAGGTAAGTGTAGGTTAGTGTTTTACTAACAGTGTGAAAAGTGCAGTGCAGTGACAAGATAGTAATTTAAAAAACTTCTCTAGTGTTCTCTCATCAGCCCGTAACATAGAATATACACAATAGAATGGCTGTCAACCTTATTTTGTACGTGGAGGGGCGTCGCCGGGAGCACACATACAAGAAATAACGTCGTACTCGTATTATCTCTGCTACAAAACCCGATTCGCTGTGTTGACAGACAGATTTTAATACATATTTATTTGTAAATAGCGTGCAATTTACCATTTTCTAAATAATTTGCATGCGAAATATGAAAACGATTGTAACGTCAAAACACATCTCGTATTGACGTTTATACGTGTGAATTGACGTGTTAGTGACATTTTAGTGGCTATACGGGCTCCGCCCACACCCCCGTTCTATTATGTATGCAATTATAGTATTCTATGGCCCGTAAACATAGTAGGTAGCGAGAGAAAAATAAAAAACGTACTTATTTTCTTTAATTTAGGAACATAATAAATTGATTAAATAAAATATCGTGAGGGAATCTATGTTACGGAACCCATAATAAGATCGTTATTTTTTCTTCAATCTTCCTTCTCGAATTTTAGGTGCATGTTATATAGGCTCTGACTAGAGCAACATGGGAACAAATGTCATTTTAATAAAACTGTAAGGAAAGATCCGTTCGAACTGTAACATAAATTAGTTTTAGACATACGCCTTATTAAATACCGTGCCGATCTGTCTTATTTATTAAATTTAGAGTTTTAATAAAACGTGTTAACGATTATAATTTTTATTAATTAAAACTTTAAGCATAATTTTTTTATTATTATTAAGATCAAATAAATTAGTCTACATACGTTGTGAAATTTGTATTAAATTGATTAAGAATCTACTATACGCTATCTGCCACCAAATTCCCTTTACTATATAATAGCCGAATAAGTTTCAGTATATTACTTCAATCGCAAATCGCATTAGTTGAGACTAACAGTCTTGGGTTAAAATTTAATTAAACCAAACATTTGTGCGGAAACAAACACACATAGTTTTTTATCGATTTAGGATAGCTCCAATCTTATAAAAGGATTACTCTGAACACGGATAGACTAGAACAAGTGGTGATTGCCTCAGTACAGCATTTAGAGTATTGTAATGTAACATATCCGGCAGTTAAAATTTTTCACTAATATCTACCGTAGACGGCATGGTAGGCATAATCTAGACTTGTCTAAGATAAGTTTTATTTCATTCCCTTAGCAGTCTCATATAAACTAAGCTAACTAACTAACTGAATGGTAGATTCTCATTCACTATAGTCTTAAAAAAGACCTATATATTACGATAGGCTCAGTTCAATCTCGTTAGAAAAGGAACCCAGCAAACTTTATCCTTATCCCGCGAATTATGGGGATTTCTTTATTATAAAGCAATAGACGTTCCAGTATCTTTCTCTTACCCATAATCGGTTCCTTCGATCCCCCGTCAATCTTTCTCTCTCTCTTTACACCTTTGCACTCTTCCACCTTTTTCAAGAAATCCTTCACCGTAACTGCTGTGCGATTGTGGAACTCTTTACCTCTCCATATTCGTCGTGCTAAATCTCTTCATTCTTTCAAAAGTCTTGTTAAATCGTATTATTTAGAACGCTATTAGATAAATTACTTTAACTTTCTCGTACTCTTTTCATTTAATCTATTATATGATATTTTATATATAATTTTCACTTATCTTTATTTGTATGTATTGTTATATTTTTTATTATTATTTTGTATGCCCCCCTCTATTTTAACTTTTGTTTGCATCATTTCTCTACGCAAAGGTTGTCTGGAAGAAATCACTTTCAGAGTGATAAGACCGCCTATTGTACATATTTTAATTTAGTTTTAACTGTACTTGATGTTTCTGTATTGTGGTGTACAAAAAAGAATAAATAAATAATTAAATAGACGTTAACTTATTCTGAGGTAAACGTCACTTATATTTGCAGGCCGTTCGCGTCGTTGTACGCAGTACGAGTGCACACCGAAATCCACTCGCGGCAGAACAGCCTCAAGTTTTCGTGCTCGCTATGTGGCGCAAGTTACGCGCGCGCTTTCGCGCTCAAGGATCACATAAAGCAAGCGCACAAAGATGCCACCGAGGAGAGCTTGGTGAGTAACATTTGAAGGACCAAATCATTAAGATTTTAGTGTATAAACAATATAGTGTGAGAGTATGAGACCTTGCTCTTTTGTTTTACGCAATTAATAATTATTAGCAATAAAACTGCGTAACGCACTACACATTTAGCGTAAGGCGCTTCTTATTCAGCATAGCTCTATACAATCTTACAATACCGTAATACATGCCGATCACAATCACGCATGTAGTGTAACGTGATGAACGTACATACATGATAACACCAAAACAAATTATGTATGCAAATCAACAGCAACATTGCTTATCACGATGTACACTGAACTTATCCGCTGAATATTCTGCTACCTCTTCTAGGGAAAGAATCACAACGGATGGTATCACTGTACACGAGATAACCAATTGAATGACTTAGAATGATACCGCACTTCGCCTGCGTCGAGTTGTCCTTATACTCCTCTTACAAGTGGAGGTGGTGAATGCGGTGAGAAAATAATAAATATATTGGTTGTAAAAGAGAGAGACAGAGAGAGAGAGAGAGAGAGCAAATGGACTGTAAGTTTATTTGATATATGCGGTAGAACAAATTATTTGTAATTGTAATATAATCTTTATACAATGCGGAATGCTTGTGGAAAAAACCTCATGAAAGCAATAACAAAAGAAGCAAAACACTTACCGAATCTCCGAATTCCTCAGCCTGGCGGATTTTTGAGGTACTAGAAAGCAGCTTTAATACTCACAGAATGCGGTGTAAATAATACATTATATATGCGAAGAGGCGGGCGGCGGGCAGAAGCGACCACTCATCACTGTGTCTTCATAAATGTTGTTGTTGTTTTATACGTGGTAGAGCCATGCTGCAGTTATATTAGTAGTATAGTTGTAATAGTAGTTTAATGCTGCTGTGTTTCGTATAATGAGTTTAGAGAACCGGAGACCTTTTTTACTGGAGACGAGGCATTCCATCTTAGTCCTCACGGGTGACAACGCATCTGCATTTTGATTCGTAATCGAGGATAGATGTAGATGTCTATGGGCCACAGCAACTACTTACCATAAGGTGGACTGTGTGCTCATTTGTCACCCTATCCTATAAGAAAAAAAAAGATGTGTGCGTAGATTACTCATTGTTTTTATGCGTGGCGCGTGCACAGACCGAATCATAGGGTGCGTTTGGCAGAAAAAAGCGCTAGCAAGCGCTTGTAAGCAAAATGGCGACCCTGTAAGCGCTGTCAAATCGTAAGTAGCTATTTTCCTCTAGGACACGATGTTAGTTTTAACCGGGGAACCTAACCTAATTTAAATATATGTTTGTCAAGTATTCATATTAAAAACTTGCCAATCATGAATTCTTAATAACATGTATATGTTTATTCATGTCATTATATTACTTAAAACTAATATTGCAGAAAACAACTTATAAACTCTACTTCAAAACAAACAAATTAAATAAGCAAAATGGCGGATTGTGTCAGCGCTACTGAAGTAGCAATCGTGTCCTGGCCGAAAACTATTTTAGCGCTTGTAAGCGCTTGCTAGCGCTTTTTTCTGCCAAACGCACCCATAGTAAATCCGGAAGCGAATGCATCAATTGTCACACGTCCATAAAGCAATTCCACAGACATTATTATTTTGTAAAATTTTTATTTATTATAGGCCCAAACAGGAAGATTCGAGTTCTTAACTCACTTATTTTATATGACGTAGGGTAACAAATTTAAGCAATAGACGCATTTTAATATAAATGCATTAATATTTAAAACCTCCAAGTGGTAACGTTTAAAAATTGATCTTACGATAAGTCTACTTTTGTCAAAGTAATTCTATAAATATGTTTTCACACTATGTATTTGTGTCCAAAGACTTCTTTAAAAGCGAAATAAAACTACATAAAAGTTTTTATCGTAGTTCCAATGTAAAATTTAAAAATTTCCAATCAAAGACATACGTTAGACTTTTACCCCAGCATACTATATAATTAATAAAATCCCAGTGTATATAATACAGTAGTACAGTAATAAAACCCAGTATATATAATTTTTATTATTTTTTATATATTAACAGGCCGACTTCAAAGACGAGGAATGGAATTCACGCGATGACAATGCAGAGGAAGCAGAAATGACCGCTCTTGACAAAGATTTACCACATGTGGTAAGGTTTTTTCGCTTAACTAGTTGAATTATAATTTGTGTATTTTATTTTATATTTCTGTTTCTTTTAATTCAAAAATGTATACAGTTTTTAGCAACTTACCTTCAGATAGATTTAATAATAATAATAATAATAATTCTTTATTGAACACAGAATAATACACAATTCATAGATACCCTGACTCCTAAACTAGGTTACCCTGTATGTTAGGAGGCAGTTTCCCTCCCATTCAGTTATGTTACATTTCGTGCACAATGCAGACTCTAAACATAGCTCAAGAAAAATAAAAAAAAATAAGTAATAAACAAAGTATGTATGCATGCATGCATGCGTGCGTGCGTGTGCGTGTTCGTGTGTGAGTGCGAGTGCGCGCGTGTTTGTGCGTGTGTCTGTTTTTGTTAAAATATGTGCTTAAAGTAGGTTTTCACAATTTTCATAGTCATATTCTTTTAGCCAATTTAAAATAGTTTGTTTAATTTGGTGTCGTTTTAAGTTCTTTAATTTAATTTTTTTATTAATAGCATTGTATAAATGAGGTGCTTGGTAGTCATATAGTCATATTACCTTTTTGCTAAAGCGCTTTTGACAAATGGTACTGGACATTTTTGTGTTCTTATGTTTCTATCTACATTGGGGCAAATATTATATCATTTTATGCTTTGGTATATATACGATTTTCGTACACTTAGGACATTTGCCAATTCATATACTTACTTTAGATGTTGGGTATGTATAAGAAAGATTTAATATTAGTTTTAATATAGATCTTTGAGCTCTCTCGGCTTCTATAAGATACGTTTTGGGAGCTCCACCCCATGAGCAGATACAATAATTTATGAGGAACGCGCATCTGATTTTTTTTAAATATAGGATTTGGTGACAAACGAGCACACAGTCCACCTGATGGTAAGTGGTTTCTGTGGCTCATAGACATCTACATCTATCCTCGATTACGAATCAAAGTGCAGATGCTTTGTCACCCTTGAGGACTAAGATGGAATGCCTCGTTTCCAGTAAAAAGGATCTCCGGTTCTCTACACTCACCATACGAAACACAGCAGCATTAAGCTACTATTTCACGCTGGTATTCTGTGAGAGCGTGGTCCTTCCCCGGTCGAGCCCACCCATTCGTGCTACAACTATACTACTAATATCATTGCAGCATGGCTCTTTCACGTAAAAAATAGTTATAAATGCATTGAACGACGTATAAATTGTAGCTGGCTTCCGTAATTGTGTTATTGTTATAGATTTAAAATAATATGCATAATTATTTTTCTGTAAAACTGACACTGCCATTTGATTGTTACAGATAACCACAATGGAAACAAATTCAAACGAGATGATTATTCCTTAGCTGTAGCCGAATTATTCGTTGTAAAAAAGTATACTAATAAATGTACACTATGTATTAATTTTAGAATATTTTAACATTGTTATTCTTATTTCTTTATAACTGGCCTACAATCATCTCTAATTATTCATATATGGTTAGGAAAGGGTGAGAGAAAGAGAGAGAGAGAGAATGAGTGAGTGAAAGACAGAAGATTTTATATACGTTTTATACAATTATTTATAATTTGTTTTCTTATATTGTAAAAGTAAATTCTTTTCATAACCTTATGGGTTTGTACATTTATTTTGATTGTTTATATTTTTTTAAGTTAGCGCAATTATTGATTTTCCCTGTCAAGTTTTGTTTTGTATAAAATTTAAATAAATTATTGGCGATGGAGGTAAGATAGGAAATTTGAATAAAAGATACAGAAAATAATAGATAAAGCTTTTTGTAATTATAGTATTAAGGGCATTAATATCAAGTGATCATGTTAATAAATACTTAAAGTCAGTATATGAATTATGAAACTGAAAATTTTGTTTCACTTATTTGAAAAAAAAGTAATTATAAAAATAGCAAGATTTATATAAGGCCAGATGATAACTAGATGACAATAAAAAGAAGTAGGTAAGGTAGGTGTAGGTCAAAACATGAGTAAAAAAAATCTGTTAAGTTTTCGAAAACTGGAATTATTTTATTAGTTTGACGAGTTCTCCATACATAGTAAACTTACAGTATCAAACTTCTTTGAGCTGGTGATTTTTTAACTTCCCGCTAAGAAAATTGAAAATTTTCAAAAATAGGGAAGTTATTGGTTGTTGGTGTGCATGTATGCATGCAAGTATGTAGATCTTTCATAATTTTTGAACGTCTTGATCGATTGAGGTGCGGCGTTCTAAAGATCTCAACGTGGAATAAACTTGGTGATAATATAACTGATTTGCACGAATAGATTTTGAAAAATCCCAAAAATAAAAATTTTGAAAAACTGTTTTTTTTTAATAACTTTTATACGGCTTTACCTATCGATTTCAAAAACTAATCAGCTCTTAACCTCAAAAAATGACGTCGAATGCCGTTTGGAAAATGAAAATCAGTTCATTCGTTCGTGAGATATCGAAGGAGAAAAAATTAAAAAAAAAAACGTTTTTTTTAACATTGAGATTTCGCAACATAACTTGGTGACATTTGGAGCGCTTTACATTTGAAATTAGCGGGAAGTTCCAGGGATGGCCTGCAGGGTCAATCAATTTTTTTATTGTATAAACATTAGTACCTAAATAAAGTAATAAAAAATTATTTTCCCTATAAGGAGACGTTTTACGTATATAAATTGAAGAGCGTTTTTACAAAGCAATACAACAAACAAAAATGCAAATATAATTTTTTTGCTCTTTTGTATACTTTTTATAACTGAACATGATAATATTAATTATTCTTCTGTAAGCGATACATAAACCATTCAAATAGTATTGTAGAGTTTCTTATATTTTTTAAAGTACGACGAACGAAATTTCTCAAAACGATACATCAAACGCACTTTAAATGTGATGTGATTATTATCTAGATATAACATCATCTATATAGCCAGGCAGTTAATTTCAATGACCTGAAAAGTAATATTTTATCAGTATCTTTCGTAGTAATTTTTGTTGAAGTACATGCACATTTCTATCCCTGAAAGACAATAAGTGACTAAGTCTGTAAACTTCCGCTAGATGTTAATCGCTTATTTTGTTTGTATGGAGAATGGAGTAGAAGTTCATGTTTTTACGAAAACTTTTCAAAAAATAACAGGCAAGCAACGAATGCGTTTACTTCGAGTAGCTAATGCATTTTTGGCCACGGCTTCGCAACCAAAAGAGCGCCGAGGTGGTAAGAGCGCTAAACAGCTGGAAACTATAACTGAGATGACAGTTCTGAAAAAAATTACATTATGAGGTATCAATGTAGATAAAGGCATTATTCTAGAAACCAGTGTTCAACATCTTACCTCCTGAAATGAATTTAAAAATATTGTACGAGAAATTCATAGAAAACCAAAAGCCTATTTCTGGAAAAACATGCTCTTTGACAAGTTATTACTTTACAAAAACTTTAATTTAGGATTCGGAAACCCTTTCGATTTGGATACTTGTTCAACTTGCAAGGAGTTTTTAATTAAAAATTAAAAAAGGATTTAGAGAAGAACAACATTCCGAATGAATATCGCTTGCGCATGTTAAGGGCTAAAAAGTAGTAATATTTAGTCCGATGCTAAAAAGTTCTTTAGTTTACTGAATGATACTGGAGATGATAGTTAATAAGGTCGGAGTCGGAGGTCGTATTTTCTCAAACGCGGATGATACTGACATCGTCTTTGCTGAAAACACCTGGGCAAAAGTTAAAAGGTCAAACGAAATCGGCCTGTCAGTGAATGCAGATTGGTTCAATCGTAACCTCACACTAAATGCCTCCAAAGTCCAATTACATATGCTTCATCAAGTACACAGCTACACACACGCTCAACCTCCACACGAATTCCAAATAAAGATCCACTACTGTGCCAACCCCCAAATTTTTGATTGCTCTTGTACAAAACTTGAAAGGTTACAGTATACTAAATACTTGGGCATCATGATTGATTAGCGCCTGTCCTGGCACATGCACACTGAACTGATTATAAAAAGGGTTAAGAGATTAATATGGGCTTTTAAAACATTGCGACACGTTATCTCTAAGAATCTTTTGCAAAAAGTCTACGTGTCATTGGTCCAATCAATCCTTACTTACTGTTTGCCATGCTGGGGTGGCACAACAAAAATTAAATTTTTAAAACTCACTGCTTAAAGTTATGCTTTTTAAACCCTATAGATTTCCAACCCAAAGCCTATACCTAACATGTAACCTATTGTCCGTAAAAAAAACTCTACTTACTCCATATTATTCTAAGAAAATACAAACCCCTCCCGTACCAAAAAGCCGAGTACGATTAGTAGAAGAAACAGTGGTAGAGCCATGCGGCAGCTTTGCTGTTGCACGTATGGGCCGACTCAAACCGGGGTGGTACCACAACCTCACAGAATACCGGCGTGAAGCGGAAGCTCTGCTTCCGCGTTTCGTCCAGGTAAGTGCAAGTGGCCGGAGGCCCAAATCCCCCCCCCCCCATCAACATGGTAGCGGAATTAAATGATGATAGACTACCCCAGGATGGTACCAGCACCCCTGAAGAATCCCTCGCTGAGCATCCACGACCATGTATCTCCACTTCCGAGCGTGGGTGCTCAGGCTGCCCCGCGTATTCTGGGGGGAGGGGGGGGGGGCAAAATTCCGCTCAAGACTACAACTGCTCGGGGCAAACGGAGCAACAAGACCAAGGCGACCCCTGCCACGCTGTCCGTGAATTTCTGCAATATCAGGGGACTTCACTCCAACCTAAACGCCGTCCACTACCATCTCGAGACGGCGAGGCCGGCTGTGCTCTTTCTGACCGAGACGCAGGTGTCCTCTCCGGCTGACGTCTCGTATCTGTCCTACCCGGGGTACAAACTGGACACTCCTTTGTGCCTCGAGCTGGAGTTTGCGTTTACGTCAGAGAGGACATCTGTTCTCGACGCCTCGGCAGACTTGAAGGTTCGGACCTGTCCATCCTTTGGCTACGCGTAGACAGCGACGACCATCCGCGCGTCTACGGGTGCCTCTATAGGTCCCATAGCGGTAATGCCGAAACAGACCGACTCTTCGACCACGTCCAAATGGCTACAGATTCGTTGCTACAGCAGATCCCCTCCGCAGAGATCGTGATCCTCGGCGACTTTAACGCCCATCATGCCGAATGACTTGGTTCACGTTTAACCGATCATGCGGGGAGATCTGTTCATGATTTTGCCTTGGCATATGGTCTGACACAACTGGTTACTTCGCCTAGGCGAATTCCAGATGTGGAGGATCATGCTTCCTTCCCTTCACCTTCCCTGTTGGACCTTCTGCTGACATCTCACCCGGCCGGATATCAGATTTCTGTCGACGCCCCTTTAGGCTCCTCGAACCATTGTCTTGGCCGGAGTGTGGTGCCACTCGCGCTGAAATCGCAGTTGCATTCTGCAGGCTGCTGCCGTGTTTGGCACTATAGGTCAGCCGATTGGGATGGAATGCGGTCTTTGCATCCTACCCTTGGGGGCGGGTTTGCTTCTCGCCGGACGATCCCAACGTTGTTGTGGATTCTGTCGCTGATGTGGTACTTCAGGGTATGGGACATTTTATTCCTTCCTCTGTGGTGCCATGGTGGTGCCCATTGGAGGCAAATCTCAGCCATGGTTTGGTCGCTCCTGTAAAATAGCATCATGCTATAAGCAGGAGTGCTACCAAGCCTGGGCTGACGCATCAGCGTCCCGGGATGTAAACAACCAGCGCTCTAAAAAAGAAGTATAATTCCGCCTCTAGGTCCTTCGAAAGAGTCATTGCCAAGGCAAAGTCAGAGCACATAGGCAGAATTGGCGTGAAACTAGTTCGCACTCCTTCTGGAACCCGTGCATTCTGGTCTCTCGCCAAAGCTATCCAAGGGAATTTCTGTCAGCCAACTCTTCCATCTCTGCACAGGGAGGACGACTCACTGGCCCATACCGCAAAGGAGAAAGCCGATCTTCTTGGCTCTTTCTTTGCGTCCAACTCGACTCTCGATAACGGGGAGAGTACGCCACCGACCATCCCGCGCTGTGAGTGCTCCATGCCGGAAGCGCAGTTCACACAGCGCTCGGTTCCAAAGCACTCCTCTCCCTGGACATACACAACTTGAGTGGGCCTAACGAAATCCCCCCAATTGTGCTGAGGACGTGTGCGCACGTGTGAGATTTTAACGCGTCTTTTACGGTACTCCTACTCCCTAGGGGTAGTCCCAAAATCATGGAAGACGGCTTTCGTCCACCCGATCCCTAAAAAAGGCGACCGCTCAGACCCGTCCGACTACCGGCTTATCGCCATCAACTCCTTGTTCTCCAAAACAATGGAGTCCATTGTAAACTGCCAGCTCATTAGGTACA